TACTACTTAGATCACTATTCCTCAAAAATAGGAAGAAAGCTGACTCCTGGAACAAGTATTTGCCTATACAATCACTATATTTGAGTTCCAGGCCCCAGACCCTTGAAGCTTTTGAGGCATACAGTTCTCAGAACACTTCACTAGCACTGACACACCTTAAGCTTGTAACATTAAAACACAACTGAAAACACTACTGTCCAACAAGTTTGAGTGCTAACTACCAAACAACTGGCTTCTGACTGGGAATGTGCAAGATGCATCTGAGTAAATTAAAGCAACTCTGGACTCTGCTTGAGTTAAATCCTATTTCTTAAGCATAGTCCCATTTCAAACTCTTACAGCAATCTTACCTAGTCTCACAGGAAGTGTACCTTTAAATCTGAGCAGTTTAAACTTCTTGCTTCAAAACCACTTGAATTCCTGCTAAGTCAGTTCAACAATTTCTGGTGACAAGAGAAGAAAAGTTAAGTTTTGCCCAGTGTATCACAGACTGGTTGAGGTTGGAAGGGATCTCTGGAGACCATCTTGTCCAACCCCCCTGCTCAAGCAGGGCCACCTAGAGCAGGTTGCCCATGACCATGTCCAGACAGCTTTTGAATATTTCCAATGTGGGAGACTCTACACCCCCCCAAGGCAACCTGTACCACTGCTCAGCATCCTCACAGTAAAAAAAAAAAAAGTGTTTCCTGGTGTTCAGAGGCACCCTCCTGTGTTTTAGTTTGTGCCCACTGCCTCTCGTCCTGTCACTGGGCACCACTGAGAAAAGCCCAGCTCTGTCATCTCTGCACTCTCCTTTCAAGTATTTACACATATTGGTAAGGTCCCCCTGAGACTCCTCTTCTCCAGGCTGAACGGTCCCAGCTATGTCAGCCTGCCCTACTAATGGGAGATGCTCCAGTCCCTTCATCACATCCATGCCCCTTCACTGGACTCTCTCCAGTACATCCATGTCTCGTGTTCTAGAGAGCCCAGCACTGGACACAGTGCTCCAACTGTGGCTTCACCAGTGCCGAGCAGAGGGGAAGAATCATCTTCCTCAACCTGCTGGCAACACTCCTCCTAGTGTAGCCTTCTTTGCAGCAAGGGCAACATCTGAGGAGTTACACAAGCAGCTACATTGAAGTTGCAAAAGAGTTAGAAGTGCTAGACTGAAAGTTTGCCATACAACCCTAACTCCACACATACGGAGAGACTGATCCATGCTATGCGACAAAGTCATGCCCCCTCCATCAGTCATTTGGGTAAGCACTACAACAGGCAAACTAAAAGCCAAGAGGATGATCAGAAACCAAATTCCTGATTTTGAAAACTGCACTGTGAAGATCAAGCTAGTTTAGGTTGCTGGGTACTTGCAAATTCCCACCCAGTAAGTCTTAGTAAAGTGATTCTTGAACACCTGTAAGAGCAGCACGACAGAAAATTCATGCTGCACTGGGCATGGAAGAGTTTGAACAGTGTGAGCTGAACTCTTGAATGAATGAGACTGAAGTTACTCACTGCCATTAACTAGGCAGGGTCTTCCAATGCACTTAATATAAAACACAGCAGGGAGAAGTGGGACAGGACAGAGCAAGTTAGCATGATCTTTACTGAAGAAGTAACTCAGTTTAGTATTAACTCTTGCACATCCACTTGCCAAATTCAAGAGAAAGTGGGGTTTTCCCAAAAATGTCTGAGAACACCCATTTCATGTTAAAACACTTTGTTCTCCTGTTTAAGGCAACAGGGATTCGAGATAAGATTTTTAATTTAAGCCTACACATTCTGCTTAAGCTTTGCAGTTAAAAACACCTTGCTGGTTGATTTTAAAGACTATATTTTGAGATGATTTATTCTACAGCAGGTATTCTTTAAGGAACACTTACTTCAGAATTACTAATACAAGCAAGTTAGCTATTCTACCAAGACATTCAGTGTTGTTCTCCCACTTCTTCAGAACCCATTTTAACAAGTCTAGCAGGGACAAACATTTAGAAAGACAGAACAAAACCCCAAGATGCTAGTCACTATTGTAGCCAAGATAACTTTATCAAGTTGCTTACACAGGGAGAGACACTTTGTTATTTATTTAGCAGTCTCACATAAACTGCTCCAACAGCCCCCACACTCAGGCCTTCACTATCTTACCCAGCAGAGGGCAGGTGCAGGCTCACAAGCCAGACACTGAGTGCCAGCTGGAGCAGCCTTCCATCCTCCAGAGCACAAGGAGCCAAGACCCCTACCTTTAGCACTTAACTGGGATGATTAAGCAGCACTGACATGATTTTTCAATCTTTCCACCAAAAAAGTGGCACTATAGATTAAAAGGAAGTCACTGCATGTCCCTTCACCTTTCCCCTTGCAGATTAGGGTGAAAAAACATGTTCGCGTACTATATATGAATCACAACATAACATCTAGCCCATGTGAGCTGCTGACAATGTTGCCTACCAGATGCCTCAGGAGGAGGAAGCTGTGTACGATAAGCTGTTTCCTAGAAGAACTGTTTCTAGTCTTCCCTGATTTCTTCATCAGTAAAGAGAGTACACTTTTTCATAGCTGCATTCTAGTTATCTGCTTACAGATTTTAAATTCAAAATCATCATTAAATTCATCTTGCTCCCAACAGCATCCCCTTTTAAAGGGTAACGCAATTTAGGTACTCTAAGAATTCTACACTACAAATACTAAATTGCTGCTTTGGAGGGGATGTAAGCTTCATGCTAAATAATTTAAGTCTTGTCATTCACTTTTAATTACCTAACCCAACAGCTTTTCCTACTAGCAACACATTTATTCTTTGATAAGGCTAATCAAAGAGTTACTAGAGAGCTGAAATAGCCCCAAAGTCTACAAAGACACAGTCCTAAACTGACTGAAAACAAGATTTCCACCCTAAGTGACTGAAATTGCCTTTGTGGAATTTGTTTATACTTGTTCAAGATGGGAATACTTCTTTCAAGTATCAGTTCTTGCCTCTTACTAAGCTGAGGTCTGCTTTCTGACAAGACATCCCTCTTATTTCTGAGGGAAATATTCTGAATTTCTGTGAAGTCACCCATAAGCATTTCTTCTGCTGCCTTTAATTCCTTCATGAAATGAACACCAAGGGAACTCAGACAAGATTGTTTTCTCACTGGTTACATCTGTGTATGTTTTGTGCTGTATGAAGAAGAGTTTGTGCATTCATATGAATGCTTCTGCAATGAGTGAAAAGTGAAAGACACCTAATCTCAGGGAGCGTACTTGGAGAGGGAGATAGGGTCATAGAAGCAGCTAAGTAGTACAGAATGGCCACACTGATTCCATGGCTTACTCTAGCTAAGCCACAAAGGATGCAGTTTGAAGAGTATAAGAAAAAAAAAGAAAAAAGTTCAGGGCAGAGAACAGGAGACAGATATTAACAGCATACCACAACTGTATTTGGGTTGCAAAATTAATGTTGAGATATATTTTGCAAGTGATTAAAGCTGACAGCCATTAACAGGCAGTCCACTGATGCCCTTACCTAGCCTCTTAAATTCTTACCCCATCTTTTTCCGACTGTGCTAATTCCAGTCTATTATCCAGTACTTTCAAACATGCTATCACCCCATTGCCTATACAGTCATTTTAGGACTCTCTAAAACAAAACTAAGATACCATGCCACATTACATATACTCCAACTGTAGTATTCTAACCAGTTATACAGCAATTTAATCAAAACATAACAGACATCAGTACTTAACACGAACTTAGTGCTTCCTTGCTTCCTTGCAAGCTTTCAGTGCTTGACTGAAAGCACTTGTAAGGAAAGCTGCGTCAACCTGACAATCATTTCCCCTCAACGGACACCATTTCTTCAGTTTTTTCAACTCACAGTGAAGACTTTCAGCTTTGTGCACTAGCAGATTCATTTCTGTCAAGAGACAAGTCAAGATATTGTTTTGCCTTTTCATCTGTTCCTACAAATGCAGAAGCCTTTAGCTGGACAGAGAAGGTAGGAACTTTTGTGAGTTCAGTAAAAGTGAGACAGTTACAATGTGCAAGGGAGGGGTACCAGGAGTCATCTGTCTGAACCAAAAAGAAAGTGTCCAGGAATATCACATGTAGTTGCAGGGAAGAATTACAGGCAACACGATAGCCTCATGGAGCTAGCACACAATATGAAGGATACTGTAATTAAATACGATACCTGCAGCATTTAATTACAAGAATTCTTAAGCTACAAAAATGGAATGTCAGGACATGGTCTATGCACAGAAGAGACCAAAAATATTCTCAATTGCCATGGCTAGATCTACAAACTGTAGATCTACACTTTCAATAGCCAGAAAAATCAGTAAAAGTCAATCCTGGGTCTTCTTTCAAGATGTTTAAAACATTCTATTTGCATTAAATAATATGAATACTGCTCTACCAGGCAAAGGACATATCCCAGTACCCCACAAGCTAACACAGTTCACAGGGACCAAGATGTTTTTAGCTAAAAAAAAAAATTGAGACAGTGCAAGCTTATTAAGTTTTAAAACATGTTTTAGTAGTCCATGTCATGAAAGTTTCGTTAAAAAAAAAAAGGACCAACAGAATTCTGATGTTCCCTTGAAAAAGGGACTTTTTTTTTTTTTAAGATGACAAAGAATCAAAGCAGGTTTAGCATTTTTTAAATGCTACAGCAGTTCCTCTATGTATTTTACTTGGTGTGCATTTTGAACACTGAAGTCTTCTGTTATCATGTACTTTTTTTTTTTTAAATTTAGTTAAAGTGTTTAGACTGTGAGGTGGCAAGACTATGCACTTAGTGTAGCAAGACTTATCTGATCCACTGGCAAAGTTGAACAGCCTCGCTATGGTCACAGGGAAATTGGGTGTCCAGAGCATCCTGCACTCACAAATTGGCTGCAAGCTAGATGTAGAGTCACAAGACTGAAGCAGTGACCACAGAAATGGTTGATTTTCAGGAATGCACCAGCTTTTACATTCTAAATCCAAATCAGTAATTCATTTCAGCAAAGTAAAATTAAATGAGCATTGGAGGTACCTTTTGAAATAGTTAGTGCTGGGGACCACTGTGATCGTAGAATATCAAGACAAATGCTGCCATTACTGTTAATATTTGGATGATAGATTCTTGTTGTAAATGCAACCTGCAGAAGAAGGAAAATTTCAGTGTAGGCTCACAAATGTACATTACACTGTATGGTAATGAATAGATTTATGATACAAGCCACTCACCTTAGGCGGTTTGAAGGGATAATCTGTTGGGAAGTGAATTGTCAAGAAAAATACTCCACCTTGATAGGGACTGTCATTCTGTTAATGAAAAAGAATCATTGCAGTTTGAGGAGTTATTACAAGATGACTAGTCATAAAAAGCGATGAACATCAATTCTCTCATACTTACTGGTCCCATTATTGTAGCTTGCCAATGGAACACTGAAAAAGAGAAAGATTTACTTCAGTTTGGAGAAGCTCAAGTAATGAACTACTTCCAGACAAAGCAGCACAGAAAAGTCTATTGTAAAAACAAAGCCTTCTGAAAGGCTGCAGGGAAGCAAGCCAAAGAGTTAAACAGAGACAGAGTGAAGTACTCAACACTCTACATTCACTTGGTCCACTCTTTGGCATTGCTGTGATACCACATACATGCTCTGCCCTGCAAAAAAATCCCTTTATAATAAAAATCCAGACAGTTACAGTCACTATTTCAGACCTGACAAATTTATGAGTTCAGCTTTGTTGTTTCCAGTGAAGCACCGGAATCAAAGCCCAGCTTCCAATGACTGCACTGCCCTCTTAGAATGAGGTACAGTATGAACTTATACCTTTCTTATGTAGGATCTCTCCTACACAGATCCTTAGTTAAATGGAGGGTCAGCCTAAGCTTTGCATACACCATATGTAAAGATGTAACCTAAGCCAGTGTTACCTTGACTGAACGTTTACACTTAGTCTCCACAGAGGCCTCAAGATTTCATTAAAACAGCAGAAAGCAATACAAGTCTTAAGAGAACACAAGAATGACAGTCTGCTCAATATTTGGGACCAGGATGTGATAGTACACACTTTAGGTCAAATGCACAAAAATTAAGTCTCATTCACATGCATCTGTCCAAGAGAGTATCTTAATCTGGTAATACACAAGATTCATGAAGAATGTCTTTATGCTGCAGAACATAAGGAAAACAATCAAAACTGTTAATCTGTATGAGGCACTTCAGGAGGTTCTCAGGGTTCCTGCTTTCTCTAAAGGCTCTAACACTAGCTTGTGCAAAGAGTACCAGCTTAACAAATTAGTTGTGAAGCAGTACTGTGGGAAGCTTCCCTCTGCATGGATATCAGCTACATCACACCTTCAGAACTGGGGAGCTGTACAGAGGACTCCTGTGTCTTGAAGGCTTACCTTGCAACAACCAAAGTTAAAGCCACCTGCAGCTATGTTGTTAACCTGCAACTGGTGTCTACAGCTTTCAAGACTACCTGTGCCAAAAGTAATTTTGGCACAGAGTGGCACTACTTGTTCTAATCTAGCATGAGCAGTTTTTAGTTACACATGGCACAGGCATTACAACTAGGCATGATCTCATACAGGAAGGGGAAAAAAAAAGCAGAGTGGGAACAGCCCTGCCAAGGCAAGGGGAGAAGAGTGTTTAGTTAGAGCAGCAGGTTTATTACAAATGGTATTACAGCTGGTAACACCAGCTAGCCTTTTGAGAAACTCTACACTCAGTGTAGAGTCAGGAAATCAAGACAGTGACTTGTGTTCATACGGAGTGTTCACCCATTTTAAAAGGTTCAGACAGCTTCACAGGAAGTCCCACCTGTAGTAGCACAGTGGGAAACTGAGAACAACAAGACAAAGGGTCCGCAGAAACCCAGAAGAGAAGAGTGCAGATAATCACAGAAAAAACCACCAAGAATTTCACAGGCATCAGTAGATGCTGATAAGATTCACTGTGACTGCACTGGAGCACACAGACAGCACCAGACATTAATCTGCATACCTCTGCACACTGAAAAGAGAAGCTGATATAACCAACTTGTCTTAAACACAAGAAAAAACACTTTCACAGTGAATCTTAACATTTTACAAGCTAGAAGGGCAGTTTGACTGGTGGGCTTTTCCCCCACTCCAACACCCACCCCAGACTCAAGGTTATGTTTAATCTAAGCTTTAGATTATCACAAAATCCAGGACAAATTTGATGAACTAAAAGATGGATTTGTCATGCAAAGCTTATTTCAAAGTAAAGAATCAATTGAAATAAGTCATTCAAAGAGTTATTTACAGAGTAAGAGGGTTGCTGACTTTCATCAGCTAAGCACAGGTACATGTTTGGAAGTGAACTAAGCCACTGCATAGCATTCTGGAAGTATACCAGCGTAATCCAGTCCTAAGCATATTTCCAAAACAAAAGGCCAGAGGTAGGTAGAAGAGGGCTAAAACTACATTACCAAGAGAAAGAAAATCCTGTCCCTACAGTTAACAAGGCAGAAACAGCTCTTCACTTTCCAAAGTTTATGAACTACAGGGATGAGAAGCTTGTAACAGGGGTGAGCTTATATGAGCTGGACCAGCCACAAGATACCACTTTACAAGCACAGAATGCCCTGAACTCTGAGAGCTATCATTCTGACAAGGCAGCTGAGGCAGATGTAGAGCACAGGGATCTTAGATAAGCCACGTTTCTGTTGCTGCCACTGCTATCCACTTAACATACAAAGTCTTGCACTCAATAGTGAAAGGTTTCAGAAAGGTGGCACAAGGAGAACAATTGACTATTACTTTAGAGCTTTCTCTATTCAGTAGTAACTTTCCACTATAAGCATTCACCAACTTCTGTTACCATCTCCGCCACCAGACAACCTCCATTACCTTTAACAGTCTTCAGAAACTACGTAGTTTATCATGGCACAAATCACACTTGCTAATTTAAGGGAAGAAAAACCTCAGACTGGCTCTACATCTTACCAATTCCTCTTCCATGAAACTACAAGCTACTTTAAAATACTATTTTGAAAGCAGAAATAAGTTGTGGGGTAACTAGAAGCTTGACACTACTGCTAAAAACCCTTAAAACCAAACGCAGCTTTCACTTGTTTGAAAGCACTGCTGAACAGTAACACCTCCACTAATTTCAGTACTTTCATTCTCAGATTTCAAGTGTTTCTTCTAATCTAGTCCTAGATTTCTATAGCAATTTGTATGTTTCTATACACTTCAGCACTTCCAAATAGTTCAGAAGTTATTTGAAAAGATCTTGGCAGCTATTTTTTTCCTTTTAGAAAGGATACCTAAGCTTAGAGTTCTTAGTGCATACATGAAGGGTTTTCCTACTGATACATCCCCCAACCTCATGAGCCTGAATACTTCACTGAAGAGCACACTTAGAGAGACCACATTGCACAGCAAGTTCAATGCATGCTGTTTAATGGATATCCCAGGCAAAGCTTCCAAGTGTTCTTATGTAGCCTTTTCTACACAGCAGAACTGCTACAAGAAGGAGTGTAAACACATTCCCTCATCTCAGGCATTTTATGCATTAAATGTTAATGTATTTAACACAGGCCCACAGTAAAGTTATAAAGCAAAAGGTGAATTTACAAGTTCTTGTCTCATTGCAAACATCCTACTGTCTTGCTCACCTAAGCTATGACCAAGAGTTTAATGCTGCTATAAAAGAAAAGTAGTTCATCAGAAAGTGTAAAATCCTAGTTAATACTGAGAAGACTGTACAGCTTGCAAAACCACTGCAGTTTAAAGGTCTCTCACAGAAAACTACTTTAAAGTACAGGGTAACAATTAAGTTACCTTATTCACAGCTAATCAAACCAAACTGGGGAGCATTACCTACAACTAAGATAAAGCAGCATCTACATAAACACCATTACACCAAGTCACACAATATATCTTTCCCTCCTCCCTAGGCAAAAATACATGCACAACATGACAGTAGATCTTCTTACTATAAAATGATGTTAGACAAAAAAAAATTCAGGGTAGGACATTAAAGAATAACTGCTTTTTTTTCTGCTGTAACACAGCTCCTCAAGCTTCAAAAGGACAGAATAACAACTCCAAATCACACACCAGGTGAACAACCTTGCACAGGAAAGACAACCAGCTGATGTGTAGGCCAAAGAGATCATCCTAGGCTATCCTGTACATGGAACCTGGCAGGGCCAACTGATTTGAGTACAGTTTTCAAACATAAAAGTACCATGTGATTTAGGAAGTGCAGGTGGAACATCCTTATCTCATACCTAAGCAGCTATGTCCAAGTCAGGCAACAAGTTAGTCATGACAGCAGGATTTAGACATTCTGATTTTGCTCATTGAGAAAGTAGTATTCCAAATTGAGTGAAATACTGCCTAAAAATTAAGAGCCAAGCCTGTTTTTCAGTTCTTGTACTCTGGTGTGCTCTATAGTACAATAGCACAAAACAAATTGAAGAACAAGCAACGTTTCCAGCATTCCTATAACTCATTTGACCACAGTAACTATTAAACTTTTAAAATAATCTAACATTACTTCATGATTCAAGCTTTAATTTACTAACTAGTTTTCCTTCCATTCACATTTTAACCTCTTATCCTCAAGGACTACATGTAACCCTCTTAAAAAAAATGCAGTGTTAACTAACTCCTGTGGTAAAATATAGTTAACCCTGACCTTGCTACACTAGCATCTAGTATTATGATTAGATTGTTTTAATTCTACAGGACCATGTGACTACATCGTATACAGTTTAGATATCAAAAGAGTTCAGAAAGCTGTATACAGTTGCTTGCTTGTTTGGCCACAGAACTACTGAAGTTTACTACCTTCATGCCCTATGAGAACACCAGAACAGTTAATTCAAAAGGTGTAACTTAAGATGTCCTCAGTGCACAGAGTTGCCCAATCAATAAAATGGGAGTAACACAGATCTCCAGTGATATACAAGGAAAGTATTAAGAGATACAGAAAGGCAACAAATTTACAATTAGTATCTGGAGTAGTATCTAGTACTCTAATCAAAAGAAACAGAAAGGTTCCCCTTGCTAAGGAACTGGACATCCCATTTCAGAAGAAAAAAGAAAAAGTTAGAGACTGCAGGTGTTTGCTGATAGTAGCATACTTACTGTC